GAGAGCAACGTCAAATAAAGACCTTAAGAGGAACATTTTACACTGGTAATCTTTTGTGAAAGACAAAATTCATGTGTTTACCTTCATGAGATGGTGATGATTGCAATTATTCCAGGAGAACTTCATGAGTCAACCTGATATTCAAATAATGCAAATATGTCTTTTATTAACAGATTGTTTGGGTAATGGATCTAAAGCCCAGCAGTACATTAATAATCGTAATTATTTGTTATTTTATGTAACACCCAGCACTAGCCTGCTTATCATGAAATAGCTTTAAAGGTGCGTGTGCGTGTGCGTGTGCGTGCGCGCGCGCGTGCGTTTTCTCCTAGTCTCCTATGAAGAGTGTTAACTGGACTGTACATAGCAACAAGAAGAGGGAGTGGGTTGCTGTGTGGGCTACCTGTGCTTCGTAAGCGCTGCTGCTGTTGTGACTGAATGTTATAGACTCATCATGTTTCCATGGCGCTAAAATCCTTAACCATTAATGATTATATATATGGTGGGGATCTGGATCGATGGTATCTGCAAATACTAGTCAATAGAGCAATTTCGGTTCACAAAAGAAAATAATTGTTTGTACATGTATGTGAATCAGAATGCCTTCTTATTACACCATATCCTTATAGAGCGGTTCATATGATAACTTTCAGAAAGTTATTTTTTATTCTTTTGTGCGTTCTCCTACGAATGTCCAGCCACATGAGCGATTGGTGCGCCTGCACAAGCCCCTGCAATGCAGAACATGTCGCTCAGGCAGCAAAACTACCTTCTTAGGTTTGGGAGACGGTCGTGGTTTAGGTTAAAATAAGTATGTTTGTTAGGTAACTTACTCTCGAGGCGTTAACAACCAAATGAAGGTAAATAAGTCAATGTTTACTTCCCGCCCTGTGTTTGTCTGACCCGCCCATCCACTTCTACCTCCTGCCCACACCAACTTTGCCACTTTTTACACAACGCCACCTGACTTCCTTTAAGGCAGCCCTATTCATACTGGCTCACAATTCTGTGGATTATTGACAAACTAGTACATTACTTGTTGTAGGTGTGAGTATGAACAGCCTGGCCATTTAGTACTCTTTTTCAACTCACCACACCCTGCAAATGTTAATCACACAGCACTTAGCACACGTTCGAAAAAATATCAAACCTTGATTATTTGCAAATAATATTCGACCTAATTCCATGATACAGTTTAACTGTTACCTTATGTGACCATTTCATTTGGAGAATAGCTGTTACAGTTGTTCCCCAGCACCAGGCAGTAAATATTTGAATAGTATTCTCCCTCCTTATAAAATCCTACTTGCATGGTAAACCACTTTGGTGATGGTTGGTGAGTAATTACACAACTCTAGATAAATGAACACACACACAGCTCACCTCTGAAATGGTTTGAGATTAGTTTACTGCTCCACAGAGATGTCCGTTGGCGTATGACAGATATTAGCTGCACACAAGCCTGTGTAGTGTTGTCAGCAGTGGGATAAAGACCTCTTCTCTCTGGGGTAGAGGAATATAAGCTTTTTACCCTGTTCCTCCATAATAACACGTTCTTGACCTTTAGCAAATGGCTCCTGCGAGGCTGTTTAAACTGCCTTTTCACAGATAACATGCATCAATCTGTGTGCACAAACAGCATTTCTTTTAAGAGGCAGCTGTCCGATTGATGTTATCAGGAGCCATTTTCAAGCTGTTTACATCAAGGGGTCACATATCAGGCTCTGTGGACGTGAGCATATACTCTAGGATTTGTTTTGCTGAGGTAATTGGAGGACTGAGATCAGCCGCTAGGCTCGAGGCTGCTTTGGTCCGTCTAATAACTTTAAACTACAGCATGGGATTGAAGTGTACACACTGAATCTTTAACAGTTGAACTGCTATATGGAATAAATAGTTTTCTTGTCAACAAAAACAATTTTGAGCAAATGTCTTTCTACCAGTAAAGTTGAGGTTAAGTGTAATTTAGTTCAAAAATAGAAACCGCACACGTCCTCCACTGTACATGTAAACTTAAATAGTAGGAAAGGTCAAAATGTCACAGAGCACTTGAAGACACATCCCATTTAATCTGGTGTACATTACATTACAGTCATTCCAATTCTATCACATTTCTACACCGTAGGCACAGCTACGGGAGCAATTTTTGAGGTTAAGTGTCTTGCTGAAGGACATATCAACATGCAACTAGCAGAGCCAGGGGATCGAACCGCCGATCCTCTGATTGAAGGACGGCCCTGCTCTCCACAGTCGCCACTACGCGTCGGTGTAGCTGCTCAGCAGTCGAGTAGTATATCCTCTCATTGACCTGCAAATGCAAAGACCTGCAAATATGTTGTGTCTTTAAGGATGTGTTGTTCGTGAAGATATTTGGGAAAAGGATGGAGAGATTTTTCAGAGTGGCAGAAATTAAGTAAGATGTTATCTTTTCTCTGTGAACTGATATTCGCTTTTTGTTTGAGTGGACTCCCAGAAACCACACTCAAGCTTAGTTGCAAAAAGCTACCATCTGAGACCATAAATATCTTGCTGTTGTATCAGAGCAAACAAAAGGCATCTGTTGTATCCTAGCTGATAGCCACAGAGTGAAAGAGTGCGCTGATCAAGACCTTTAGATACATGGGGTTGCTAAGGAACATGAATTTACACATAGCCTGTTCCCTCTACAGCAGCTGCACCTCTTTAGAGTTTAGTAATGCATTCAGCTCAATCTGCCCAGGACCATGTGCACCACATTCAACAACTACTCTCCTGTGGCTCTGCATAAGACAAAAGGCCTCAGCAGTGCTCGGAGTTTGGGGCCAGATTGAGCGGTAGATGTGTACAGGGGGAAAAAACTGGAATGGGCATTACCAGATGAACACAGATGAGAGGGAGACGACGGAGACAAAAGAAAGAGAGAAACATAAAGCTGCATGGTCTTATCAGGACTCCACGGGACATCTGCTGCTGCCATTGTGTCAGCTTTCATCCGTTTGTTAGTCAGACAGTCCTCGTTGATTATGACAGTGCCATATGTGTTGATGGTGTAGGTTTTCTTATAATGTCTTCTTGCCGGCGACAGACGTGGCCGGATACATTATGCGTTCAGGTCGTCTGTCCGGCCATTTTCGTGAACATTGTATATCAGGAACGTTTGGAGGGAATTTCTTCAAATTTGGCCCAATCACCAACTGGACTCAAGGATGAACTGATCACTTTTGCAAAACACATTTGTGGCCATAACGCAATAATTCAAATGATATTTATGACACAAATGTCTGACTGGATGAAATGATGACGTGATGACATTTTTGGACAGACATGGATGTAAACTACAACTTGACTGTCTGGAAGAGGCATAGAAGTGTGAGGCGGCGATTCCTGTTCCCATAGATAGGTATTCAAACATTTTGTGTTGAAATGTGTCCAGCATAGCTGACCAGAGTTTGATTGGAGAAAAAAAATCAAGTAACCCGAAACATCAGCGTAAACACTGGGTTTTGCTGATGTTTATGCTGATGCAGCAGTTCCTCTGATTTGAAGAGCTAGGGTTTGTTTCTAGCCAGTAAATCATACAGGGAGAAATCTATCAAAGGAGAGACAGACATTCCAATTCCTCCACTGACAGTAGCTTGAATGGTCCATAATGCAACACAGCTGGGAAACGTGTATATCTCAACCTGCATGAAATGCTGATCACTTACTGATGTAAGACCAGAGTAGACCAGACAAGTTAAGAGAAAGTGGGCACACCAAAAAAAATTAAATCAAACCACTTTGCCACAAAATAGTGGAATGTTCAAACACAAATACTGAAACTTCTAGAAATCATTTAACATCCTAGAATGATGGTATATAACATAGTCTTAAACTTGCTTTCAGAATACTAATTCATCAATTTTCATCTGGCGGTTTCCAGATCTGGAAAATCTTTGCTCTTGCTCCAGTGCATGTTGATTCTAGTAGCTCCTCGAGTGCTCACACCCCTTCAGCCACTCTCACTCAGACTCAGACACATTTACTGCCATCTGGATGCTTCAATTATCAAGTCAGTCAAGCCTTCCTCTGCAACTTTGATTGCAAAATGAAATTATTTATTGGGCTGCTTTCTTTTGTACAGGAATAATGTCTTAATCTCAGTTTATATTCAGCCAAGTAATGGATCTTGTTATTCATATGTATGGGCTAAGTGGAGAGCAGGGCCGTCCTTCAATCAGAGAAGTGGCGGTTTGATCCCCGGCACCGCTAGTCGCATGTCGATGTGTCCTTGAGCAAGACAAAATTGCCCCAAAATTGCTCCCGTAGCTGTGCCTACGGTGTATGAATGTGATAGAATCTGAATTGTAAGACGCTTTGGATAAAAGCGGATAAAAGCTGTAATGTGTGGTATGTAATATGTTCTAACTCTCAACTCGTTAAACACTGATGCTTGGTCAGTGCCCCTCTGTGTCTGATACGACGCACAGAGACACCCTTTAGTGTCTGTATGAGACGCACCGGCCTCTCATCTAACTCCAATGTCAACTCATCCACGTCAGTATTAGACGCTCAGAGCAACAGACACAGTATAAAGAGCAAATAAAGTCTGCTTAAGGCAGAGGTTAGGGTGGATGGTTGGATCAAACAACGGACTGGTGTCCAACTGAACAGACCATCATATCACAATCAAAAGGGCCCTTCGTCCTGGAACAGTTCCGTATGTGAATAATGTTGCAATGGAGATTTGCTTTTCACCCTGCAGGACCCTGCATGTGATTATGGCTGATTAGCTTATTAGTCCATGCTCGCAAATAATCAACAAAGAACCCAAATACAAGAACTCAGGAATCTTAGATTATGTTGTAATATCTGATGTTATTTTCTGTGATGTAAAGCTTTTCATCAAATTTGAAAGAAAAACATCAGACCCTGATTACAGTGACCAAACCTAACCTGCTGTTCCTTATTAGGGCATTTGTGTTTCACAGTAAAGCTCAACTGTCTCAACTTTGTACTCCTTTTGTCTCTGTCTGGCTCAGACTCCCTGGGTGGCCCGTTCCCGTCCACGTCACACCGATGCCGCCACAAACCCAAGAGGTGCCTGCCTATCCAGTGCGGCAGCGTTGGTGGGCCCCTTCCCATCAGCCCACTGCTCTTTCATCCAAATGCCAAGGGATCCCAAATCGTTATGGACCTTGCCCAGAAGACAGTCAAGAGGCAGGCCAGTTTCTGCAATGCCATCACTTTCGGCAACAGGCCCATGGCACTTTATGAGCAAGTCCGCCTCAAGGTATTCTATGTCAGAGTGGAGCACTTGAGCTCCTTAAAGTCTGGGAGCTTTAAAGCTGACAAAATGATTGTACCGTTTTTATCTTAGGTTTACACTTAATATGTGGAGTTCCTCAGTGAAGATTCAACTTCAGAGTGATTGCATTGGAATGGAAACCATGTAGAGTCAAATATTATGTAGAAGTTGAGAGTTGGGTGTGATTCACAGCCTCATGTCAAATGGCAGTCTCTACTTTTATCAAATTTCTAGGAAACAATTTTCCAAATAATACCAATAAAGCCACATATGGTTATCTTCTCCCCAGATTACTAAAAAGCAGTGTTGCTGGAGCGGGGCTCTACGTCTGGGCTTCACCGCCAAAGACCCCTCCAGGATAAACCCAGACAACCTGCCCAAGTACGCCTGCCCCGACCTGGTGTCCCAGACCGGCTTCTGGGCCAAGGCCCTGCCTGAGGAGTTTGCCAGCGAGGGCAGCATTATTGCCTTTTGGGTTGACAAGAAGGGCAGAGTCTTCTACCGCATTAATGAGTCCAGTCCCATGCTGTTCTTCAGTGGAGTCCGCACAGCCGAGCCCCTCTGGGCCCTCATCGATGTTTACGGTCTGACCCGCGGAGTGCAGCTGCTAGGTAAGCTGGTTGAAGAAGCATACAATGCAGAGCTAAATTACCAAACAGGAAACAGGGGCAACTGCCTCTGGGACCCAGACCCTCAGTGGGGCCTAAAAAAATAGTTTGTGATAGATGGATTAACAGATTAGCGTAAACTAAAATTTGAATGAGTTTACCAGAATAGTATATAAAAGGGTATATAGAAGAATATGAGAAGGTCATGGTTCTAACTATTTCTTGGCAGCCATTAGGAGGAACTGCATTGGCATCTTCATCTGGGACCACTTTCACGTTGGTGTTCATGTGTGATGTATAGCGTGGGGGGTGAGACAAAAAGTCTGCAGGACAAAAATATTGATAGGTGCTGCAAATTCACAGCTTCAATAAATATGGTTGGCCATCAAAGTGAAATGACTCGCAATCGTCCATGACTGCCATTGCATTTGGCCTTTTGAGTTTCCTTAGAAGACAGTATGACAGCAGCATCACACATGTAAGCATTGCGCAAGGATGATTATAGAGGGCCAGCTGGCAAGTTGCCCCAGATGTAGATACAGTACCTATTTTCCATAACAGTCGTTGATGGCAGCTACTTTCTGTGTTTACATGTGGCGAGACTCAGAGACAAGCATTTAAAATGAGTCACGTGTTTATTTGGAAAAGCTTCAGGGAGACTCGTCCCGGTTTTCGCGATGTTTTTCACTTTATCATTTTCCGAAATTTGTCTTACATCCCAAGAATTAAACTGTTCACATAAATACAAAAATACAAAACAAAATTAAACCATACAACAAACATATAGAGTATAGAAAGTGGATGCAGTGCAATTCAATCACTCCCGTTTACATTCAGTGTTCCAGGTACATCTAACACAGCAGCACAAGTATTGTATGTGTTCGGACCAATCAGCTTCCTGTGAGGAACTTCTGGCAGCTAGGGGCGTGGCTTAGGTGTGTGAGAGACGACATGGAGAGGAGACTGTTGGCTGTTTCCAATAATGGCTCTTCAGGAGCCAATGACCTCCTGAAGAGTTCAGTGTAGATGCTGTAGTGTCATCAGTTCTACAGAACTGGAGGGTAATTATCCTCATTGAAAGAAGTTTTCTAGTCTTCCGACCACTCAAAGCGCTGCATGTCAAGCACCTATTCACACCCATTCATACACTTAACCTAACCCTAAACCATACATCAGGACTATCGAGCCGGGGGATCGAACCGCCGTTCCTCTGATTGAAGGACGACACGCTCTACCACTGAGCCACATTCGTTCTACAAAGTTCCTGCCCCTTTTCCAGACAGTTTCCAACGATGACTTATCCGATGGTTGTGTGAAACAAACCATCTTGTTTGGGTACGCTGAAGATTAGAGGTGAGCTAACTTAACCCTGGGGTGCTCCTGAATCTCCTCAACAGAGGTGGCGAGTGCAAAACCACAGTCCACTGTGCCTCAAGGTCTGCTTGAGTGTTACTCCGGCCTTGATACCGTGTTTTAGCTAATGGTATGTAAACTGGTGTCCTCCCAGTATAACCTTGTGTGTAAGTGTTCTGGATATAACTAGTGAACATTTTTTTTACGTGATGTCAAAGCATCTGTATCTGATCATTTTACGTTGTCACTGTCTTTTTTTTTTTTTAAAGCCATGAGATGTTTATTTCTGCAGATGACAAAGAAACAGTCCTTTCTAGTGGTTACCCTACCTGTTTTTGTATACAGTAAAGCCTTCCATGAAACAATGGAACAAAAATGAACAAAGGCTATCTATATCTGGCCAATATTTGGCCCCCGTGTTTACATAAAAGCATCGAGAGGGGGCTGCTGTGCATTATCAAGCTATGTTGGGTAGCTTAACATGCATGGCTTTGATGTGAGAGAATGTAGACACACATTTTTTTTCCCTGGAGATCCAGTGCTGTCATCCTTCTGCTGTGAAAATAGACCAGGGGTCACATGGCTCACAGATATTGTAATTGTGTCTTCTGCGTTGAGTGGTGTCTTCATGGTGGTGGGGGTGGATGTTTAGTGTCTTGAGTATTAGGGAGCCCATATTCTGTGTTTTCCCCTCTATGTTGGGGTTGGTTCATAACTCAAAGTCCTGTTGCTGAATGTAAGTCTGTCCTAGTAGATTACTGTTAGCAGCTGGACATCAGATAATGGGACAAACAGAAAATGCCAATATCAAGTAGCGGAAACCAACTATTCAGGCTTACCCCCTCAAGGTTTGTTCTGAATGAAGTCTCTGTAACTCATCGTTCTGAGAGACGTCTGACCTCTTTGAAACTCTGCTCCAAGCACCCAAACCGGGCTTCTCCTTAGCCCAACTTAAGTCATTCCTACTGTCTTTTTACAGTCAGGCCATAGGCAGGGCCGCCTACAGAGCGGCTCATGTTCCTCAGGGGGCCAACTGACTGACATCTGCCCCCACAAACAAGGGCCTGTTCAAAGGGGTGGAACGCTACCGAAGGTCGAGATAGAAATACATCATCTAGACTAGACACGGCCCTTTGTGACGCTGAATGGCCAATTGTGTCAGCTCTGTGCATCACGTTTCTGTGCGCAACGCTCCATGAACCTTTCCCTATCCTCGGATAAGCCCTTGGGCTTCCACATCTGAGGCCTTCCTCTCGCTTTCACTCCTTATTTTATCTGACATTTGAGGAGCTGTTTTTCCTTTTTCCAGCCTCGGATTCTCAAATACACCCGCAGCTCTGCAGGCAGCACATAAAACAATAGAAATGGTAAAAAGGAAGCATTTTTTGCCGATACTAAATAGCCACCTCAGAACTAAATGTTCTGTTACAAATGCTTTCACTTTAATTTAGCTCTTTTTATCACATTCTCACTCAAAATCTGCTACCCCTCTATTCTTTGCCAATGTGACTTTCCCCTGTAGGATCAATAACATTTCTATTCTCTCCATATCAATGTTTTTCAGCAGCGATTGAGATTATTCATTGTGCCTCCTTGGAAATACTATAATCCTCGCTACATAAAGCATGATTTAAAATTCTATGGTGGATTAAGTTTTCCCGCTCAAAGCCATTTTGAACAGTTCGTGTATGTAGGCCTTTCATAATGTAAATTATCGGGGGGGCCTCCAGTGTCTGCATTCAGCAGGGATAGTACTACACACAGACGTCTTCATACCACTTGACGTGCTTCTCCAAGCTGTTGCATTATTTTGCTCCTGTGTATCACAGCTCACTCTCTGTGTGGAATTGGAATATGAAATTCAAAAATGCACAAAAACGGCATGTGTGAAACCCCACCCTGTCCTCCCTTATGAGCGACATCGCAACCTTAAAACAGGTAATTCACAATGAAGAGAACTATTCAGTGTTTATTCGTCAAGAAAGATAGTGTGGTGCCGTTTCACACACAGACCAGACGTGTGTCATTAACATTAACTTTCCGAATGGGCACAACTTCCTCTGGGACAAGCAAGCGCTGATCGATGATTAGGTGACATCAAGTGAAAAGTATTTATCATTACTATTTCAGCTTTAGTGAGTTTCTCCAAAAATGTAGATTTATTTATCTATTACATTGTTATAAAGCAACCTGGTTGCTTGTAATTCATTAATGAAATAAAGAAGACTATTTTAGGTATGGATAGGTGTCCATACACCATACACATACCATTTACACTAGGGTGTAATTTATGCTTTTCTAGTCTTCTGACCACTCAAAGCTCTTTAACACTACATCACCCATTCACACCAATTCATACACTGATAGCAGGCGCTGCCATGTAAGGTGCCACTGCCCATCAGGACTATCTAGCATTTATACAACATTCACGCACCCAGATTGGGGTTGAGTGTCTTGCCCAAGGACACATCGACATGGACTAGCGGAGCCAAGGTCAAAGGACGACTCGCTCTACCACTGAGCCACAGCCGCCCAATAATACAAGATGTCAGCAGTAACTTAGACATCTTGTATTAGTGGTGTGCTCATTCTTCTGTGTGATGTGGAAGCTTGCTGGGTTCAGCTCACCCTTTACTTAACTGGGCAGGTGGTATGTTCCTGTTAGGTCCAATGACTTTCAGTGGAGCAGTGTGAGAGAAGAGGCTGCAGCTTTTTAAAAGCTTCACCTCAATTCACACGTTTCATTTCTGTCCTTTTGTTCCAGTTAACTTTTAGATCATTTTTTTTATATCTTAGCACGTGTTCAGAGCGAACGGTTTGCATGCGACTCTGTATTTTAAGATGTATCATCAGTTCAGCGTCCCGAGGCAGCTCTGAGGTCAGAGCAGAAGTAAAAGAGCGAAGGACAACCGCGGGCGACATTTGGAGCAGCTTTGATGTAGAAAAATTGAAATAGGAGCCGTATCATGGGATAATCCACCCCGAAGGATTCACCAGGGTGATACATCATACATGGCAGAAACAAGGGGAGAGAGTGATTTAGTGGTTTCACACCCCTCTGAGCATGATGACAGCAATTTAGGAGTTTCCCCTCCCATCTTCCATCCTGCTAATGGAGCTAGGACAGAACAAGTGATGTGGCATCCAACAAAATTCAGGGTCCTATACACGAGCAGCTTCTGTGGGCGAAAAAGAATTTTGGAAGAATGAAGAAATCTGAACAGAATGTACCAGTAACACTGAAAAGACAAGGTCAGCTCTTTTAAGTGAAATTGACCTTTTTGAATAGGCCAAAACTGAAACGGCTGCCTACTGGAAGGCCTATTTCTAACAAACTTCAACAATCCAAAAGTGAAAATAGAACCATAGCTTATGTTTTAATCAGACTCTACCTGCCTTGATCACCATGTTTTTCCTCCTCCTCAGCTCTTGGTTTACTTGGTTTACTCAAGTGCTTTGAGTGGTTGGAAAGATAAGAAAAGCCCGATACAAGTACAGTCCATTTACTATTTGTCCTACTTTTAACCCTCTGAAAAGGATCCTCTGACTGGCATTAACATTAGCCAACTGTCTTTTTCAGTTTTTAGGATGGTAGCCCTATCATATGAATGTTGCAATGAATTTATTGATACCAAACAGGTCATGCTGAT